AAGGGGCATGTCTACCCAAAGCAGAGGAATGTAGGCTCTGAATAGCAGGAACAAACAGTATGGCAGCATGGCTTCACTCTTCTGCTTCTTCTCTTTTCCTCCTAGAAGAACCGACCTGAGTACTGCCTCACGCTGAAATAAGAGACAGATAAAAGGTAAGGACGAAACATTAGGAATATTTATGTTAACAGAAACATGGCACGGGTTAAGAAGTTGTAAATCCAGATGTGGAAAAATTGTTAAGCATTTTCCACATGAAGAACATTTGTAAGTTAAAAAAAAGTAACGCAAGGTCAAAGCTGGAAATAAATTCTGTGTGCAAGAAGCGACCCGACCAACTGCTGAGACCAGCTTAGCCATTTAGTGGTGAGAGGGAGCACAGTGAAATGAAAAGCTCCACAAGATGAAACAATATTTTCATCATTCATTAATCTGCCAGATGATCTTAACGCCAACTGTAAAAAGTTACAAAATAGTGTAAAATAGTCCAGATCCAAGGTCGTCTTTAAAGCTTCCCCCACCCAAAGCCAGTTTCCATCGAACTTACACTGGAGAATTATTTCATCATCAATTACCCAAAACAGTTGCACAATTTCCGTTAATAAACTGCTTAATCTAGTGATCTTATTAGCTTTCATTTCAGATTTTCCTGGAGAAACTGTGAGTCAAAATTGACCGATTAAAAGTAAAATAAATAAATAAATACAATTATTTCCATTTGGGTGTGGGTGAGCATGAGCACACAGGTCAGCACAGAAAGGCCTGTGCTCTGTGGTGTTGATACTGTCCTGGGGAAAATCAGAGGAGTGCGTGCCTGTTCTGCAGCAAGTACTGGGCATTCTGGATCTGGTCCTGTGTCCCTGTGATAGTGATGATGCGGTCCTCAGAGCCCTCTAGTGGTTCATCAATCTTGATGGATGCCCCAGACTCATGGCGGATCTGCTTGATCCTCTGACCGCCTTTACCAATGATGGAGCCTGCCAGCTGCACAACAACCGTAAAGGAGAGTTAAAAAACATACATGAAGGAGTGGCATCTCTTTTCTTGTCATTGCTCACTTTAGCTTACATCTTTTGGGATGGTGACTTGTGTTGTGATGACTGGACCTCCGATATCACTGTACGAGCCTCTGCCGCCTAGGAGGAGTTAAAACCACATAAGGTGGAAGAGGGAAAAATCCATCTTTAACTAAAGCATGCCAGAAGATGCAACAATCCCTATAGGTTAGGAAACAAAACGCTGGGATAGGAACGATCGATCCCAACTCACCAGACTGAAAGTGATCCCAGGAAGAACTGTTGTCTTTGAAAACATCAAAAAGAAAACAAAGAAAGGAAAAAAATGAAAATGCACCCCAGAACAAAGAAAAGAGAAAAGTGATAGTAAAGAATGTAGCCAGAATGTTCCAGACTTGAGCTGCAGTTCAATTATTGAATCAACGGATTCATTTATCAGTAAAAATAAATGAATCATTTAAATGAAACTCACTGTTTTTAAACTGGTAGCCATTGCATGGTTTCATCTTTTCCTTACACAGTAGTATATTCAATAAATAATGAACTTAACTGTTAAACACATCAAGTCAAAGCTGAACTGATAATAGCAGTGTGTTAGAAAACCTGTGACCTAGTCTATACTCACTGATCAGGCATAACATCATGGCCACTGGGGTGACATAGATAACACTGATCATCTTTTCATCATGGCACCTGTTAGTGGATGGGATCTCATAGGGAGCAAGTGACGATTTTATCCTCAAAGTTGATGAGAAGAAAGTCATGGACAAGTGCAAGGATTTGAGCAAGTTTTACAAGTGCCAAACTGTGAATGCAAGACAACTGGGTCAGAGTGTCTCCAAAACTGCAGCTCTTGAGGGGTGTTCCCAGTCTGCAGTGGTCAGTATCTGCGAAAAGTGGTCCAAGGAAGGAACAGCAGTGAACCAGTGACAGGGTCATGGGAGGCCAAGGCTCACTGATGCACGTGAGGAGCGAAGGCTGACACGTGTAGTCCGATTTAACAGACGAGCTACTGTAGCTCAAATTGACCACAAGGTCAATGCTGGTTCTGATAGAAAGGTGTCAGAATACACAGTGCATTGCAGTTTGTTGCATATGGGGCTGCATAGCCACAGACCGGTCAGGGTGAACGGAGCAATAGAAAAAGGTGACCTGGTCTAACCAATGTTACTTTGACACGTACCACCTACCTCAGCATTGTTTCCTCCAAATGACCCACTGCTCAATCCACGTGAGCATCTGTGGGATGTGTTGGACAAACAGGCCTGATCCATGGAGGCCCCACCCCACAACTTACAGGACCTACAGGATCTTTTGCTGACATCTTGGTGTCAGATACCACAGCACATGGGTTTAGTTGAGTCCATGCCTTGACGGGTCAGAGATGTTTTGACAGCAAAGGGTGGACCGACACAATACTAGGCGGGTGGTCATAATGTTATACCTGATCGGTGTAGTTGCCCCATGCCTAGCAGCATTGTGGTGTTCCTATAAAACCTCTCAAAAATAAAAGATGAAATTATGAGAATAAAGTCCAAGAAGCCCTGATTTTCCTTTGCTGAACTTGAATTTTTCCAGGAGATTAATAAAGAAGAACACTCACCATATCCACCTCCACTCTGCATTTCAGGATCAATTGATGGGGGGAAAAATATATATATAATATAAGTTTGAATGTCACAGTAAAGACAAAGCTCTCAGAACCTGGAGTAAACTAAATGCTCACTATCCATTCTACATTAAACTACAAAAAAACTTGTGTACACTCATGCAGACTAAGAACAATCTGATGTTCACCAAGGTGAAGGGGAGTACTCATCCCACAGTATTAAGCACATCCATTTCAAAGCTTTAAAAATCACACTGAACTTTATAAGAACACCATGTTGTCGGCTAGAAATTTGATCCGAGGGTGAAATAACTCTGGGACCCTTCATGTAATGATTTGCCTTTCTGAAATTATTAATTTGAATAAAGTTGACCAACAGAAAGGCACATGTTGAAGACCTTTAAAGTACTCGTTAGTAAAGTACTCAGCTTTACCTTCCTAGATCAACACAGAGACTTTCAGTCGTTCATATATTTGAAGCACATAAAAGCATCATCAGTTTGAGTTCACAATACTGCCAAGAACAGCTGCAGCTTTTGTGGGGAAGTTCAAGAAAAACCCAATTTTGACTATGCTGCCTCTTACACAGGAGGCTTTTCAGCTGCTCAGCTCACACATGTCTGATAGAACAGATATGCTTCTATTTTAATCAGCCTGTACGAGTCCTCGTAGACTCCATACGTGCCCCAAAACACATTTACACTTTCCAGGATTCTGTTCTGCTGGTTTGTGCAGTGACTCGGCTGGAAGTTGTCAGTGACTTGTGCTGCTAAACACAAACGATGCATTGCTGATCACGCTACAACTTCCCTGTAGACAATTTAGGCCTTTTCTGTATTAATTTATTTATTTTAAATAAACCATTTAAATGGCTCAGAATAAAGGACACCAATTCAATTTAAGGTGGGAACACATGTGTGAATATATAGTCGGGGCAATAGTTATTTCATCCTCCATTTACTACTTCCAAAGAAATGAGCATTACCATTAACATTCAAAATTAGGTGTACCCATCCTTTTAAAGGAAAATATAAATAGAGTTCATATACGGTGATGCACTGCGAGGGATAACCAGCTGCCTCTCCAGTAAGTTCCAGTAAAGCCTATTTTACAGTAATATGGCTGTCTTCAAGTACACAAACTATCTGCTTGCATACAGCCCTAAAAAAAAAAAGAGAGAAAGAAAAGGGGGGGAAAAGCCTTCTGAACATCTGAACACTTCAATGTCAACTGGAAGCTGTCACTGTAGTTTTGATTACTTTTTCCAGCATTTGTCTGTAGCTCTTTTACTGTAAACCTCTTTCTTTGTATTAAAGTGCTTAGCCATGGGTAAGATCTGTCAAGTAGCAAATTGGCTGCAAGTCCCACATCTATTACACCGATTGCATTTAATTTATATGTGACGATGTTTACTTGTTAACTCAGATGAGTAGAGCAGTGACAAGCGTTAATGCAAAAAATAATCAGTTGATGCTTTCACTCCTGAAATTCTTGTTTCACAAAGAAAAAGAAATGATATTATACTTTACATGATAAACGTCAGTTTTTGCTCTTTTCTTAGACACTTTAAAATCACTTTAAAGGATTAACTGACATCTCTTGATGCCTGTGTGATGAAATTAATGCTTCTGTATTACTATTAAAACATTTTTGCAGCTTTAAACCTACAGGGAAACAGTTCAGGACTTGCTTTGGCTTCTGCTCATTTGCTAGCCTGGTGGATCTCCGGACTACGTACTCAGCTGCTCTGTGGTAACCACGGAGACAACAGTTGCCTGGCAACAACAGGCCTACATCAGTGTGCATACATAGTGGGGGGAGAAAAAAAAAGCAGCTTGGTGTTGAAGCCACTGCGCTTGTACGAAAGTGAGAAAAAGAAATTCCAATCATATGATCTAAAGCAGGATTCACAAACACAAACTACACAGAAGCAGGAAGCGACACATACGGATTAGCATTACAGAAGCACTAGTAAACACACTCACCATGCTGTCATAACGGTCTCCTCTGCCTCTTCTGTCACTACAGACAAAAAGGTAAATGTTAACATAGTTCCTCCAACATAGGGGACACGTGTGACAGGGCAAGCAGACTCCACTGATGACCTCTGATCAGGTCTGAACTATGGCTTCACCTCCTGATGAACTTTCAGTGTCTTCTGCTTTTAAGACAAATTATTTTGTATTGACAATCCTACTCACCTTGGTCTGTCATCCATGCTACCATGATAGCTGCCATGTGAAAACCTGTCACCTCTGTGGATAATAACAGACAAGGAAAAAGAAGTTGGTGAAACAATATATATGCCTATACACAAACATACACATAATACGCATAAATTAACAGGAATCTAATAGTGCTTTTTAGATCCAAACTTTATTGGAGAAATAAGATCGTTTTACAAAGAGTACCAAAAAAAATGCCTATAGCTAATTTTCACCTTCATTTTAATAACACTTAGGGTGGGTGAATGCTGACTAGGCTCATCACCTCTGCTAATTTGAATTTGGACTGAACTTTGGCTGCATTTGTGGTGTTGGAGCCATTTGCAGCACTGACATAATATGGGTTGGTGTGCAAGTAGTGCAAGAAGTGAGTGCTCCAGTTTTTAAAGTATTTAAGTTTTATCTATGTGCACCCAGATGGATGGATGCAACCTATCAACAATAGCCCTAGTTGACAATTTAGCACTCCTCCCTCTAGTCCAAATACATTCACTTTTGGCTTGGTTATGCTAACCATATGTCAACGGCCAACCAGGGGCTTTAAAATGGGAGTTAAAACACCAATGGGTAATGGGCATTATCTGTGGCTATCTTTTATATAAAGTATAAAAACAGTTCAGATGCACTGCCCTTACCCTCCTCTTGGTGGTGGCGGCGGGGGCAGAGGCAGATTACGAGCACGACTTCCCCCTCGTCCTCTGCTCAGTGGTGGCGGAGGCCCTCGTCTGGGACTCATGTCATCATAATCCCTTCTGGAGGGAGGCATGGGCCTGCTGCCGCGAACGGGAGGCATGCGCTCAAAACCGCCACGAACACGAATGGGGAAGCCACCGATGGGTCGTCTGCCCCTCTCTTCAAATAACATAGTAAAGCCACCGTAGTCGTACGTCTCGTCATAGAAGTTAGGGTCATAAGGCTGGGCGCGACCTTTGATCGGTGCCTGCAAGAGCAAGGAAAAGAAAATTAAATAGATAATTTATTATTCTTACTGTGAGACATGAACCGCATAATTATAAAGCATGTTAACCCCTTTAACAGATCTCAATGATGTAATCGCACCTCTGACACCAGCTCCAATATAACTTTTATACATTCAACGACGCGCTCTGGCTTTCCTCCAACTAAGACGACTCTGTCTGTCGAGTGTGGACAGCACTCCTGGAACAACTTGATGGTGGTCTGGGTGTTCTGATGCACAAGAACAAGAAGTATTAGTCTTCTTTCCAGTCTATCAATTTCATCTGTGACCAATTTGCCATTAAAGCTGGTCTATGACACTAGCAAAACTAGTCCTTAAATACACATATGAGCTGCGTAGCTAACGATGGCTCAGATAATTGCCCATCTCAATCAAAACGTGTACACTGACAGCTGTCCGGACATATATGATCTCGATGGGCAGATCAGGTGAATTTAATTGGAGGTATGATTTTTTTTTTTTTTTTTAATTATTCTTACGAGCCAAATTTTGATCACATATTCCACATTATCTGATTACAGCTGCAAATAAGTTATATCTGTAATACTCAAAGTATAAACAAATAAGGTGGCACAAATAAGTCCTAATAAATCCTAATATATTTCAGATACAATATGCATTAACAATTAGAACCTTAATAATTATTCTACAGTCCAGCTTTTGGGGCAGAGCATCGTGAGGATCCTGCTAATCTGGACTCTCTTACCTCTCTTAGCTCCTTTATCTTGGCACCTTTCACTCCGATGATGCCCCCTGCCAAGCTCTGATGGATCAGCAGCCGAAGCTCACAGTCAAAATCAATCCCACTGTAATGTTGGTACTAAAGAAACACGGCACAAGATCAACAATGTCAGCAGGGTCAGAATATCTGCCTATAGTTTATTATTAAAGTCTTTGGGCAGTAACTTATATGCTGCCAATGTGGCAAAAAAACTGCTAAACCTGCTAATAACTGCTAAACATGCAGTGGACTCCAAGCCTTAAATGACCCATGCACACATCTGCATGGGTCACAATCTGGCATTTGGCAAGTCATTTCAAGATTAGAAAATGTGATGCTAAATTTCTATTTCATTGTGGAACATTATTGAACAAAGCAATGATTAATATGTTTAATGCATTTCAAAATTCACATCAGTGCAGTGTACATTCATATATTTGGACAGTAACTTAATTTTCATCATTTTTGTCCCTCTACGCTACCACATCAGTCTGAAATGGCACATACAGTTGCAGTGGAGACTTTCAGCTTTTTTAAAGCCTCCAACAAAAATAACTTAAGGAGTCAAAGAAATTTATTTTAAGGAGTTAATTATCTGTTAAGCAATAGCAACCACTTCTATGCACGGAATTTTATAATCCCAAATAAAATGATAATTTTTTTTTATTGTCAAAAATTATTTGAAAGCGACGACTGGCTAGAACGATGCCTCCTTTGTGATGTTTTGTCTTTGCAGCCTCACAGTCAGTGAAATCAGGTGAGCGATTTAGACACTGCAGCAGATTCTTCCTCCTGATCTTCAAACTGTTGTTAACTGAGTGCTCATACATTAAGTTTTGGGTCATTGTCCACTTGTACTGCGACTTGTCAACTTTGTTGCATTTCGCTGAATCTTAGTATTGCTCTGTAGACTTTCAGAGAAATATAGTATTGTTCTGAAGCTGAATATGCCTTTCATCAGTTTTGGTACATTCATTAGAATGTACACAAACAATCGGTCTACTCCTAATCTTCCTGTTTTTCTCATGGGTTTGCTTTGTTTGGGCAAAGCAAACCCATGGCCTATATTTATATTCACTTCTCCTTTGACCGTCTGCTTTAGGCTCACAAAGCTTTCAAATGCGATCACCTCCAGTCTTTTTAACCTGCTTAATTTATAAAGAAATATAAGCGTGCACTTCAACTGCATCGTGATTGTTTCATTTCAAACCGACTATCTGTTACTTATGCATAAACAGTCATTTGAATCAATCCAATGTGGTTTTGTAAATTCTCTCCCCATCAGTATTAACAAGTATGATAATAACTGTTACAAACCGCTTTTAGAAAAGATATTTAGAGAAGATTTAAAGTAGCTCACAGCTCACATAAAGACTTTAAGACAGGGCAAGAGGAACTCTCAATAAATCACGATAGCATTTACCAAAGATAAAAAAACTACAGAGACACATACTAAGATCATTAATAAGCATAATTCAACAAAAAAGAAACTAGAACCATTTATCTGTGAGTAGTCTAGCTATAAGCTAATTAAGCACGGTCAAATGACTGGAATGACAACCAGACAACCCAGTGAGTCTCAGTAAAGCTAATGAAAATTTTGTTGTGTAAGCACATAACTACTACTATTGCACAGCATCACCGGTGGGACATATAGCTGCGTGTAGGACACAAATCCCTTTAGGGCTGCAAAAATTCAGAAAATATCAGGAGCTACCTGCTGTGGCGACCCCTTATGAATATGGAAGCAGATAAAAGTAGCTTACTATTATTATTATCATTTTATCAATGCATGCTGGGTGGAGCTGGATACAATGTACCAGCTCTGTGTTATATTAACTTAAAGCATGAAAGGTCAGTAATAAAAGAAATAAGATCTTCCAGTCAGATTCAGTTGTGATTTTTCTTTTTTGCAACATATAAACATATCTCATAAACAGATACCATCAATCTTTCTGGACTGCTCTTTGTTTATACGCACAATTATTATGACAGCTTACCTCTTCAAGAGTCGGTATGATTTTCAACAGAATCTCTCCAATAGTGTCGATACTGGCATTCACACTCAGGATCCTGTCAGGAACCATTTTAGCCAAAAGGAAGCAAGGCGTTACAAGAAGGACAAGAGAGAAGGACAGAAAGCAAAACCTGATAAAAAATAAATAAATAAACAAATAAAGAAGAAGTAGTCCAGCAAACATTTATGAACACACTTACGAAAGGTTTAAAAACTAAAAAAAAAAAAAGGAAAAATTAAGACTGCTAAATGCTACACAAAAAAATAATAAGAATTTTTCATAACTTTTCCCCAACACTACACTGACTAAATAAGCAGCTGACATGCACTGATTATAATATTATTTTTAAAGACAAGCTTGGGGAGGATGGGCGGTTTCAGAGCGGCTCAAATTAATGTGATTGCGGCCACACAGAGTTGGGAGAGAGGGGTGTAAAAAGAGAGAGAGAGAGATCTTTTATATCACATCCCACCACCAAGTTGGGGAAAAGGAAGGTAATAACTTAACACATTATCTTGTATTGACAACTGCGCCACCAGCACACCTTCTCTTTGTGACCAGGAGTTGGGAAAGAGGGTGGGGAACAGGTGGGGAGGAGAGGGGCTTGGGGCTGAGGTGAGGAGAAGACGAGGTGGGTAGTAGAGAACAGCAACAGAGCAGAGGGGTTTAGACTGGGAAAAGAAATGTGAGTGGTTGCCAACTACTCTGTGGCACAGAACAGGAACAGGAACGGGGGTGGGAGGGTTATGAAAGGTTTGGGCAGGCAGCGCTGATCTGATGTGGCCTGAGAGGAATTTAACACAAGGGGATGCAGCACCATGAAATAAAAAGAAACAACAATAATGAGTGACAGACACGAAGACAGAGCCTCCGGACAAGAGCCAGTGCGCTCTCTCATGGACAGTGATGCTGAGAGTGGGGGTGGGAAGCGAGAGGGCCAGGTGAGCCACAGAGGAGGAGGACAGAGTGAGATAAAGATGTCTGCTTTCCACAAGATTTATGGTAAAATTAAACATCACAGCGAGGAAATAAAAAAAAAAAATACATATAAATAAACAGCATCTGACCGCTGCGTTGCTAACTATGTAAAACACCAACTACTTGGTAGTGGGCTGTCAGTGATTCTCTGCATGGACAATAAACTGTAATAACAAAAAGTCCAACTCAATGGAGAGGCTGAAAATGGACAGGAAAAAAAGGAGAAAAAAAAGGAACAAACACGTCTCTTACAAGTGGAGGGGGGGTGTTTGGGGGAGGGGGAGGGGGGTATACTGTCATGTATATCAAAATGTTAAAAGTCAAACAGAAGGCAGATTATCAAAGACATGTGTTTCACTGTTCTAATCAGGCAGTGAGGCAATAACTGGTGGGACATACCGCTCTGGGCCACTGCTGTCTGGGACTGATACACTGGCATTGTACTGCATGGGCCGAGGAGGTGGTGGTGGTGGTGGTTGTGGTGGTGGTTGTGGTGGAGGAGGTTGGCATTGGGCGGGGGCATTCAATCACAAGATGTCAAGTTAGGTGCCCGATTAAGGAGGGGCACAGTTTATGGGCAGGGCCAACCGGGAGTGTCAGGTGGGCGGGCGGGCGTTCGGGGGCGGGCGGAGGTTGGGCCAACGTCAAGGTGGGCAACGCAGGAGGGGCATGTCGATCCAGTACATGGGCAACGGAGGAAGGTGGCCAAAAGTAAAGACAAAAAAATAAAAAAAAAAAAAGGAGAAGGGAAGAGGGGGAGAAGGAATACATTTTTAATTGAATACACGCTACACGTTGTCCCAAAAGTGAAACTGTGGTGAGTGAAGAAGAACAGGAAGTGTGACCTGGACAAAGATATGTTTAATAAGCAGTTTGGAGCACTAGACAGATTTATGTCCCTGAAAAGGCTTTCCAGTCAAGGCTTTCAGGCACCTGTTGTCACTTCAAGGTCAAACATAGCTTCAACAGTTTGGGGAAATGTAATTAGGTCGAAACTCACAAAAACAGGACTGGGGGGGGAAAAAAGGGGGGAGGGGGGTGTCCAAAAAAACCTAACAAAAAAAAAATCCCAAAACACAGCTGTCTAACAGGACCTTCCTGGTCTGTCCACACGAGCCAAGTTGGTTTCATCATAGTAACAGTGCATGTCAATTCTAGATACAATACTAAAAGCATGCCGCCAAAAAATCTGGGATTAATTCTGTGGAAATCCAATTCTGCAGGAATGCAGAAGTCATTTGGTAATTTGTTTTGACACTTTGGGTTTTTTAAAATAAATTATTCCTCCTCTTGTGTCAAGAAAACCTTCAATCCTTCATCATCTCCATGTTTAAAGAGCACAAATGTAATAATAGAACTTCATTAGACTGAATCCCAGATATAAGGACAGCACAAGTGATGGGACACAATAGCTAAACATCGGCCCAAGGCGTTGGTGAGCAGGCCAGTGGCAGTCAACAAGGCAGATATAAATTTAAAAGAAAAGAGAGGTTCTGCAAAAGAGGGGGCAGGCATTAGCTGACAAAACTGTTGCCTCAATCGCAGACATATTTGCAGATTTTTATCTGTGTACTCACATCTGTGCGCAGGGCTTTTATGTTCTTGCCACCCTTTCCAATAACAGCACCGGCATTCTGTGAAGGAAAAAAAAAAGGTTTGATGAAAAGGTGAAGAAAACAGCAATGCGGTCCCAACAGCTGATGTGTGAACTGAGTCTTTTTACTTTGCTCTGAAGCAGCACTCGCAGCTCCACCATCTCATCTGTGTTGCGTGAACGTTTAAAGGCCTGCTCCTCATCCATGTCCTCAGCTGGGCGCTTACCTAAAGAGACAGGTGATTTGGTCAAACAACTCAAACAACAAGTTAAGGGTAATTGTAATAATATATATATATATATAAACATAAAAAACACACTGTTGTTGTTCTTCAAAGACATTGTCACCACAGTATTCTATAACACCAAACAACACAAACAATTTAGGACTGAGTTGCCTTACCGTTAGGGGAAAAGAAATTGGGGGAAAGAACCAAATTAACATTACCGGCTAAAGCCACTAAAAGCTTAGAAAAAGTGACAAAAATATAACTACACATCAGGAGCTAGGTCTACGCCATGTTCCACCCAAAGAACAGGTTTCATTTAGCGGCCAACTGTATCCTGGAAGAAGTCCAACACCACCGTGTACCCTTCCTGGATTAAAACATGGGACAGATCTGCTCAGGGCCCACAGAACAGCAGTATGCTGGACAGGCGAATCCCTCAACCATCTGACATGTGCACATGCTATGAAGCATAAGCCAGTTTCTTTTCCCCTACCTCTCTCCTTTCCTTAAACAAACTAATTACCATTTGTATCTGCAGACTGTACTTTATGCCGGATGACATGACAGACAGGCTTAGCTTATTTTTAAAAGCAGGACCTTTACATCTTTACATTACTCTAATGAATTGCTTAACTAATCAACATAAACCTGTGTGGGACCTTACCATTAGTGTCAGTGTTGCTGAATGAGATGTCTTCGTCCTGCTGTTTGCCTTTCACCTCCATTGTCTTTCACCTGCAGCGGGAAAAACAAACAGGTTCCTCTCCCTGGATCTGCTAAACGGAGGGGATCAAATGATACAATCAGTCAAACGGCATACAGTACATGCAGGGACACACCTGATCAAATAATCTGAAGGAGTTGGCCAATATTATCAGTAGACATTGACCTATCACAGTCATTACTTAAAAATATCAGTCAGCCACTACAACTATAGCATGTATTTTTTCTAAGTACGTGAATTAGCCAATTGCAGATACGATTGATTAACTGTGTAGCTTGCAATATAAAGTGACCACTGAATGTACCCACAGCCCAGTGTGCCTATAAACTGAGCTGTGGAATTATATCACCACAATCAAAAGATGAGATGAAGCAGAAAATCCTCACAAAATAGATGCTGCCACCAAAGAATTTGGGGAATTTATTCTTGATAGTTTTCTGCAATAACACATTACTAAGCTACGTGCAGCACACGAAATTCATAAGCATGTATGTATTTGCTCAGGCAGCATCCCGCAGTACTTCATCACAGAGATAATAATCTAGGATTGGACATGTGAAAGTGTCGTGGCTCCTGAGTGTTGCTGGCCTGCATGCACTGTACTGTACAAACGCAGCCCACCTACATGCGCTGGCTACTGTTGCTAGCCAAGTACTGTACATGCTGTCTGGACCTCTGCAGGCCTTGCTAAACTTAAAATGAGTGCCAGTCAACGCCCACATATCTCAGGAATTAACAGCACCCGTTTTAACCACCGAGAGCCGCCACAGACATCTAACGGTTAAACACAAACACGTATGTGTGCTAATGTCATCCAGAGCACATTAGCCGTTTGAGAAAGGACCAACAAATGGCTAATATCGAGTCTTTTTTCTCCCTTTTGTTTTCATCAAAAAATAAAATTCAAAACAGCTACCCGAGGTGACTGGACATTAGGGAAACTGCTCCCGAAAGAAAATGTGTTTATCACCTGATGCCTGCGAATAAGTTAGCTATCTGTTAACGGTACTGACATTGCGCTCCCAAGCTAACAGCGCTGCAAAGCTAGCCAGTTGGTGCGTTTTACGAGGCGTGCCTATCAGCTCCACTGTCCACGTTGCGACTGTACAAAACCGCAAATAACAGCAGAGCTACGCTGCTATCCTGCTAATGTCAGCCGTCAAGTCTTGTTTAATCGCCGACAGCTTGCGAACAGATCGAATGACGCCACGTTACAACCCGAGCGCCAAGTTGGTTTCATCATAGTAACAGTGCATGTCAATTCTAGATACAATACTAAAAGCATGCCGCCAAAAAATCTGGGATTAATTCTGTGGAAA